TGCAGCATCAGACTTTCCTTTCACCACCAGATACATCTGCATCTGAGTGTCCTTTCAGCTTTGGCCCAGTCGCTTCATTCTTTCTGGCGCTACTAGTACTATCCCTCTGCTCTTCCCCAGTAGCATATTGGACACCTTCCGACCTGAGGGGCTCATCTTCCGGCGTCATATCTTTTTGCCTTTTGGTACTGTCCATGGGGTTTTCATGGCAAGGATACTGGAGTGGGTTGCCATATCCTTCTCCAGTGGATCACATTTTGTCAGATCTCTCTGCTATGACCTGTCCGTCTTGGGTGGTCCTGCACGGCATAGCTCATAGCTTCATTGAGCTATGCAAGCCCCTTCGCCAAGACAAGCCAGTGATCCATGAACAACAGGAATAGCAGAACACAATATGCTGTTGCTGTGCTGAGAAATGTACTTTCTCACCAGCTACTGTGAAGAATACGGCTAAGCTCAGAGAGAGCAGGGAGACCGGAGGGATGCCATTGTCCCTGCTACTCAAGGAGACTGGTGCTTCAGCCTTGTGAATGGAGACTCCATGCCCTATGGATGACTCCCTTTTCTGTGCAGCAACAGGAAGCATAACACTATGTCTTTTCCATAACTCTACCTACTGTGGGGCTTAAAGTTACTCTTCTTTACCCTCCAAAGGCACACCTGGAGGTCATCCAGAAACAGCCCCTGGACAGCAGACTGAGCAGGGTACACAGTTTTCTTGGTCCTGGTACGATGCAGTGCATTTCTGTTTTAATTATAATAATTAGTTCGAAATGTGCATCTAGAAATATAAACCAGCATATGCTCATTTAAATCCCGATATCCTCCTTTTTGCCATTGGATAAGTAGCTGCTGAAGGCATCATCCCCTGGCAGAGTTCCACTCAGAGGATTCCTGCTGGTGGCAAGGAGGCGTGAGGGCGGTGACTTTGTTGACTGCTCCCCACCCTGTGCTGCCATCAGTGCCACCTCACCTCTCTTCCAGGGGACACAGATGACTGCAGTGGGGGGGGGGGGTAAGTGAAGAGTATCTCCCCAGCCCCATTCAGCCAGAGGAAAAGCTCCACTAGATCTGAAGGCTCCCACTGACAGGTCGCGCTTCGGCTGGAACCAACCAGTGTCTGTCTGCAGTTGAGGTTTGCCAGAGAGAGTGCCAGAGATGGTGAAAGAACAGCCCTCTCACTGTTATCTTTGCTCTGATGCAGGAAACATAATTGGGCATTTGCAACAGTGTCCTTTCAGGCCTTCGTTTCTTCAGAAGCCTTATGAGACAGCATGTATTTAAATAAATGTTTATCCTTAGACTTCCCACGAGAAAAGGGTTCTGAAGCAGCTAAGGCTCCTATGCAAACAACCCCCAATAACAACAACATAGAAAGCAGCAAAGAGCTTCCTCTAAGTCAGACGTGGGCATTGTATGGCCTGCAGGCCACATCCGGCCTGATGACTGGCCCTGACTGGCCCGCATGAGGTCACTGGCATATTAAAAGTCAATGCAAATATATATCGTCGTAATGTTGATGCAAGCAATACAACTGTACTGCTTTTATTTTGAAGGTTCTACTAAATTGAATTGAATTTATTGCTTTTCATGTAATGTTAATGTTAATACTAATGTTTTTGTGAATATTCATTAAATAGTGTTGTTCTTTGCTCCACATTTTCATTGTAATGTTTCATTTACTGTTTTTATAGAGAGAGATATTGAGCAGAGCTATAAGTGTATTGGTCCGGCCCTTAACAACTGTCAAAGTTTCTCATGTGGCCCCATAGGAAAATTAATTGCCCACCCCTGCTCTAACTGATTCTCCCCTCTCTCTCCCTTCAGAGCAACACTGAAACCAAAGTGTTTTTGCTTGCTGTCTAAGGGAAAGGAAGGAGAGGGCCAGGTGGCCTTCTCTGGGGAAGTTATTCCCTGGTCACACTTTGTACAGAGAAAGGCTACCCAGGGCAGAGCATCTGTGATGATTCCAGCATATCGACAGGACTGTCTGGGAGTAGGTGGCCTTGGTGATGTATGCACTTTGGGGGATGTAGATACTTGTTCAGATAAAATAGTTGGGCAACTGGTGGCCCTCCAGATGTTTTGGCCTACAACTCCCATCATTCCTAGCTGACATGGCCAATGTTGAAGGATGATGGCAGCTGCAGGCCAAAACATCTGCAGGGCCACCACTTGTATACCACTGTGATCAAATAGCCCCTTTGCTGTATTTTCTTCTAACTTGTGATATTTCCACTTTGGTGTGACTACCATCGTCCTGATGGCGGTGGTGGAAAAACAGAAACGGAAATGCACTATAGCAGCTCCCCACAGCTGCTGTGATGATGCTTCACGAAGGAAGGGGAAGGAACCGAGCTGTGGGTGGGCCGAGGGGTGAAGCAACCTGTAGGCTAAACCTCCCATCTCCCACTTCCTGTGATAAACATGGTATGTGCCACAATACACCTCGCAAGGCAGTGATGCAACAGCAGCTCCTTTTTACTGGAAACAGGATCCTCCCAAGAACCAGCTCTGTATTTGAATGTAGCAGCTGAAAATGTGCATTTCAATGCCCTCTGGCTTACGGAAGGGATCTATGTGAAAAATTTGCACAATCAAGCTTTACCTTAATACTTGCAGTTGTGGAAGATGGAGATGGAAGATGACTTTGCCAAGACATGAAGTGCCCTGGCCCCCAGTAATTAATGGTTAACAATTTGACTCTTGGCATAATTTCTTTTTCTTCCTTAATTTTCCTTTGGGACAGAAGAGACATTTAGAAAAGGACAGAGTGAGGGATGATTGCCATCTAATTTGGAGCTCCTTCTGGGATGAACAGAATTTTAAAAGCCAGCAATCGCTTACCTTCCTCTCCACTCTCTCCTTTCCCCCCATCCTTTCCATCTCGTCCATCTTTTCCTGGGAAACCCATTCTTCCTGCATTCCCGGGAGCACCTGAGATTCCAGGGGCACCTGGAGGACCTTGGGGTCCTGGCATGCTGCAGATAAGTTGCTTGGAACCTTTCTGGATTTCTTCCCTTAGAAAGCTGCTGAGAAGCTGGTTTGCTATGCAGGGCACAATCCAGACAAACAAAACCAGGAAGAACATGGTGATAATACCTGGAGGAAAATAAAGAGAGCTCATTAAGGACATGGATTAGAACAAAGCACATGCAAATGCCATCAAAATGAAGCTGATGAGTATTCTAGGATTTAAACTGATACACTGTCATTTCAAATCTAGGCCATTTTTCACTGAATTGTGTCACACAATTTTGCTAGGATGGGGCAGGCAGAACTGGATCTGCTGGTAGACCTCTGGATGCTTTGTGGATGCTCTGACTTCCACCTCCCTTTTTTGGGAATAGTAGCAACAATAATATTTGTGTCCACCCTTCCACAAAAAGGTTACTCAAGGAGGCATTATGTTATTCTTCTGTTGAAGTGGAGACAGCTCAAGGCAGGGATCTCCAGCCGTTTTGGACCCATGGGCCCATTTGGGGATGTGAGAAACTACTGCAGGCACCACCACTAAATGCTTGATCAGTGAATTGTTTCAGTGGCATCTACTCATCACATGCTTTGATCTTTTGCTGAGTCTAACCCAACAAAAATGTTTGTTTATTGGACACTGCAATGTCTCTTTTAATAAGGGATTTCCTAGTGCTATATGGCTAAGGCTTCTTTTAAACCTATTCCTAGTAACTACTTCTTTTTACAAAAAGGGTTCTTACACAGAAAAGTTTTGTACTAGACCAGTCTTTAATTCTCACTGATGTAAATGTTCTTGTATATTATCTCCTTGCTTCACTGACATTAACATTATCAAATGGAAGGGGGAACAGATTCTTTACATGACAACTAAAAGACTGATACTACAAAATTGGAAGGATACTAATTTCCTATAAAGCACAGGACTGTGGACCTTATAAAGCTTCTGATATATGCCTTGGTGGCACATACACAGCACTTTCAAATGGAGGCTTATTTGACTATTTGATCTGCTTTTGTTGAAATCTCTATGTAAATGTTAGAAAACTGTGTTTTCACACAAATCTATGTATACATATTTAAATACTGGAAGACATTAGTGAACATGCATTTTTAAAAAACAACATGTTCTTCATATGCCCATAAGCAACACAGTGGGGACATCCACGTGTAGGGAGTGGTCTGATGTGTGGAAGGTACGCACAATTCCTGATGTGAGAAATTCTTTCATTTTAAGCTTTGCATCCTTCACATCAGGGTCTAGCTGCCAGGTTTCAAAGAGAAAAAAGAGAAAGGAAGGAAGGATGCACAGACGGAAGAAGGAAGCTCTGCCAGCCTCTGAGTTCAGGACTGGCCCAGGACATGGAGAAGAGACAAGAGGGTGGCCCTCCCATTTCATGTGCAGCAGCCGGTCACCTTGGCAGTCACGTTCCACTTCAGTATTGCCTGATGGACAGGCTGGCCGAGTGGGCACATGCCCTCGAGCATCTTGCTGCTGTTTCCCGCCCCTCACCTTCACTGCTTGCGCAGCTGCCTCATTCTGCTGGATGGCAGGGCCAGCCCTGTCTGAGCTGGAGCCAGGAGGGACACGTGCACCTGGGCTCCCGCAAGGCCTGGGACTGAGTTCATGCAGAGAGTCAACCGTGCTGGAATGAACGTGCACATCTGGATGCACCCACTGTCCACATCATCTGGAATTGGGTGTCCCTGGCCTGAGACAGAGACCAGGATGGTGCCCTGTCCTGCTGCACATTAACAGCTGGCTGGTGCAATTTATGAAGCAACAGATGGCCCAAATGGAGTTTGGTGAAAAGTTTGTTAATGCGACATCAAGCATTTATCAAAAGCAGTCAGCTAGGATTATAATTAATGGAGAATTTACAAAGATTATAGAGATACAAAAGGGTACAAGACAAGGATGCCCGTTATCACCTCTGTTGTTTATACTGATTTTAGAAGTCTTGAATAGAAATATCAGGGATGATGAGGACATTAAAGGTACCAGAATTAGAGATGAAAGCTACAAATTGCAAGCATTTGCTGATGATCTGGTTTTTATAACGGAGGAACCCTTTGCAACAATGCCTAAACTCCTACAAAGGATTGAAGAATATGGCGAGGTAACTGGGATGAAAATAAATAGAGAAAAGACGAAACTGTTAGTAAAAATTTTTACACAAGACCAGAGAAAAACCCTGCAGGAACAAATAGATTTACAGATTGTTAAAAAGGATAAGTACTTGGGAATTTATCTTACAGCTAAGTGTACCACTGTGAAAGAAGACAATTATGATAAACTATTGAAGGATATTAAGGGTGATCTGGAAAAATGGGCTAATTTGCAATTATCTTCGCTGGGAAGAATAGCACTTGTTAAAATGAATATATTATCCAAGCTTTTGTTTTTATTTCAAATGATTCCCATAAAAATTGATAGAAAATTTTTTGATGATTTAAATTTTCAAATTTCAAGATTTATATGGAGAAAGAAGAAACCAAGGATTAAATTAAAAATACTTCAGGAAGCTAAAGAGAGCGGGGGTTTTGGTCTCCCTGATTGGATGTTGTATTATCAAGCTTCTGTTTTAACATGGCTAAAAGAATTGATAACTTTAAGAAATAAGAGAATTTTGTATCTTGAAGAACATGATTTGCAAAGGGACTGGCATGCTTATATGTGGTATGAGAAGGCTAGGTCACATGGTTCCTTTTTAAGTCACTATATTAGAAAATCATTAATATCAGTGCGGGAAAAGTTAAAGATAAAATTGTATAATAAATTACCAAGATGGTTTTCACCCATGGAAGCATTTGAGTATCCAAATGCATTGAATTTTGAAGGGATTATAAGATATGATGACATTTTGGATAAGGATGGAGGACTGAAATTGAATCAAGAAACACAAGAACAGGGATCTAATATCTCTTGGTGGCATAAGGTGCAGATACAATCGAGATATGCTAAAGATTGTAAAGTGTGGGGTTTTTATAAGGATTTAACAGCGTTTGATCAAGTGATGCTTAAATCAGATGAGAAAATGATTAAAAGATTATATGACTTCCTACTTGATAGGAAAATGGAAGACGAACAGGTTAAGGAAACTATGATAACGTGGGCACAAAATTTTGGATATAATATTGAATTAGAAAAGTGGCAAAAGCTGTGGGAGAGAAATATTAAGGTAACATTAGCAACTTCGTATAAAGAAAACTTGTATAAAATGTTTTATAGATGGTATCTGTCGCCAAACAGATTAGCTAAGATGTTTCCAAATATGTCAAATGGATGTTGGAAATGTAAACATAAATTGGGTACTTTTTAACATATGTGGTGGACTTGCGATAACGTGAAAAAGTATTGGATTAAAATAAATAAATGGCTCGAGGAAATGTTACAAAAACCCTTAGCTTTTAAACCTGAAGTTTTTTTTATTAGGCATTATACCGGAGGACACTAATAAACAAGAAATGTATTTGATTTTGCATGTAATCACTGCAGCGAGGATTGCATTCGCTCAACACTGGAAATGTGAAGAACTACCCACCGATGAACTGATTTTAAAAAAGATCCTGGACTGTGCAGAAATGGATAGATTGACTTTATCATTGAAGGAGAAGGAAGATACTGACTTCTATCAAACTTGGGACTTTTTTTATTATTGGCTAGAGAAACAGGTGTTGGCTTAGATTTAAATATGTTTTTAAAGTTTTCATAAATGGAAAAAGAAGGGTGTGGGGGCTGACTCAGCGGGCTCGATGTTTTTGATGATGGATGTTGTTTGTAGTTTTCTTTTTGTTTTTTTAGGATTATAATTTCAAATAAAACTTATTTTAAAAAAATTAACAGCTGGCTGGTGATGGGTTCAGCCCCTTCCACCGCAGTTGAAGGTGGCAACCTGGCTTAGGGGGAAAGGAGCATTCTACTTGGCTGTCTCTGGCAGGTGGAGCGGAAGCAGGGGTCCCCAGAGACAGACAAACGGGGGAAATGAGAGAGCTGGACTGGCCAGAGGGTCAGCAGGATGTAGCAAAAAATCAGAAAGAAAAGAGAAACGGGCTAAGCCAGTTGATGTCCAGGACATTCCTGTATCTGGTTGGTAACTTCGGTAGCCCAGCCATAAGAGCAGTTCCATGCAGAGTGGATCATCATGTTCCTGTCCAGGAGAGGCCGAGGTGGGCAGAAGGTCCTACTAGGGCCTTGGGTACGATCAGGAGAAATCAGCCAGTGTAGCTTTTCCTCTCATGCTGGGAGAAGGGGTGGTTTCTGCCCCATCAGGCACCTTTTGGAGCAGGCCAGTGCTCTCCAGATGGTTTGGACTACCACTCCTATAATAATAAGCATGCTGTCTGGGGTTGATGGGGGCTGCAGTCCGAACCAGCTGGAGAACCCTCAGTTGCCTACTCGTTTTAAAGCTTTGGATCATTACCATGCAGTATATAAGTTACACGAATTTTATGTTTCAAAGAAAAACACATGTGAGTTTCATTTCCTTTTCAGGGCTGTAGGAATGAGGAGCAGCATACAATCGAGTAAAATAACATTTTAAAAATCTGACTGTATCCCTGTCCTAACCATCTCCTCAGATCTTGGGAGGGAGGGAACTGAATGAAGAATGTGGCCATGACTTATGAGGCACAAGAAAAGTACACGCTGCAGCTTTGCCCTTGGATTGTCATGTTCTAAATCACTTGTCGAAGAAATGTGTTAGAACTTGTGTTATTTAAGGAAGTCAGCCATTCCGAAATATATACAGAACGGAGACCACAGAGAAGGGGAGAGAAGGAGACAATGAGTCTCTGAACAGGGGTTCTGTTTCTGGCTTATTCTTCAATATTTTCCCATGCTTTTTTCACATTGAACATTAACTGATGAAAACTAATATGTGGGTGGTGACTATTTAAAGGTTTCGTCTTTGTGTACTTTCAGAACCAGGCACGAGTAACGCTTGAATCAAGATACACCTCAGCAAACGCTCATGTACCTTTTGTAGCCAGGGGAAGGCAGGATTACAACAAAGTCTCAATTAGATGACCTTCAAGTTCTGAAATATGTAGTTGCACTACAATTGGCAGCATTCCTGACCTCTTTCCTACAGTCCTTACCTGCTTTTTTGGACTCGTGGGGGCAATGA